GCGGCGGCCGCGAGAAGCGGGAGCCCAGCAGCTGCTCCACGCGGGCGTCCACGCAGGAGGAGCAGCTGGGACACGTCTCCTTGGTGGGGTGGTAGACGAAGTGGATGTGCTTGAGGATGAGGGCGTCGCGCTCGGCCTGCAGCTTCTGCAGGGCCTTGAAGCGCTGCTCCTCGCCCAGAACCTCCTGGATGACGCCCATCTTCTCCTTGCTGGGCTTGGCGTCCAGCTCCAGCTCGTAGAAGAGCTCCGAGTACTCCAGCAGCAGCTCCTGGAAGTCCTCCTTGGCCTTGTCGATCAGCTGCTTCTGGTGCTTGCCGTAGATGTCCATGTAGACGGGCTCCTCCAGCCACAGGTAGAAGTCCTCGTTCATGATGAAGCTCCTGGCCTCCTCCCAGGGCTTCCCGGGCGTGACGAAGGGCGAGCTCTCCAGGTTCTCGCGGAACGCCCTCCTCATCTCGGCGCGCTTGCGCTCGTCGCGCAGCTTCTCCAGGTGGGCCTCGTAGAGCTGCTCGCCCGCCGGCGTCTCCAGCAGGTCGAAGGGGATGCGCTCGTTGTCCACGTCGTCCACGTGGCTGGTGGCGTCCCACGGCGTCTCCTCCAGCACCACGAACCACTTGAGGAAGTCGGGCTTGGCCTCCAGCAGCTTCTCGGCCTTGGCGCGGCTCAAGCGGTCGATCTCGTCCAGGTCCGGCACCAGGGCGTCCAGCGCCTGCGGCAGCAGCGCCAGGTAGACCCTGCGGCGCCGCTCGATGTGCTCCTGCTTGAGGCGCTGCACGTGCTGCAGGAAGAGCTTCTTGGCCTTGTGGGTGCCCTCCAGGTAGACGTAGTCCTGGAACTCGGGCGCCGGCTGCATCTTGCGGCTGGCGCCGGGCCAGGCCTCGTGGTGGCTCTTCACCACGCGGCTCACCAGCCACTCGTACTTGTCCTTGGCGGCGGCGATCTGCTGGCTCTGCTGCTTCAGCGCCTCGAAGTAGGGGATGATCTTGGCCTTGCCGCGGCTGCGGTCCACCAGCTGCACCAGCGTGCCGAACGCCAGCTCCACGTTGACGTTGGAGCGCGCCGAGGTCTCCACCACCTGCAGGTTCTTCTTGCCCAGCGCGAAGGCGTGGGCGTCGCGGATGTAGCGCTCCACGCCCTCGTCGCACTTGGTCAGCACCACCACCACCGGCTTCTTGGTCTTGGCCAGCTGGTTGTAGAGGTTGGACACGAACTTGAGCTGCTCGTCGAAGTTGCGGTTCATGCCGCGGCTGACGTCCACGCACAGCAGGAAGCCGTCCACCGGCAGCTTGCCGTCGGGCATCTGCTTCTGCTCGAAGTCCTGCTCCAAGCCCAGCTGGTCGGTGCAGAAGTACATCAGCTTCTCGGCCGACGCCAGCTTGGTGGCCGCCGCCCTCTTGATGTAGGGCTGGAGCGCCGTGCTGCGGTGGGGCTGGAAGGTCTGGTCGTCGATGAACTCCGTCTGCTCCACCACGTGGATCCGGCACTCCACGCACTCCTCCAGCGGCCGCGCCACCTCGCCCCAGTAGAGGAAGTGGTCATTGTTGACCACCCTGCCCCCAAAGTCACTGGTGCTGAGGACGGACGTGTGCTCCAAGTGGAAGTCGTCGGCGCCGGGCCGCACGAAGCGGTTGCACAGGCAGGATTTGCCGACGCCGCACTGCCCCTTCTCCTTCTCGGTGCCGGACAGCCCCACCACGCTGACGTTGTAGGTGGGCGTGCGGCCATCTTGTTTGCGCGCCATCATCATCGCCGGCGCATGGGGGGGCTCAGGGCAGGCGCGGCGCCGGGGCGGGGCCGCTCG